GCCCCCCCCCCCCCCCCGCCATCCAACATGCGAAGCATGTGACTAACTACTGCTGTTTTTGTAACTTTTGGCTTACTATTTCCCGCACCCCCACACGCTCGCAGGTTATCGTCCCGCGCCAGACCAGCGGCGGTCACAAAGACGTAAAGTCGCTTGACCTGACACGGAAACGAGTTAAGGCCAGGCACGTCAAGATTTCCCTCAGAGGTCGTACGAGATCTTGCTACAACACGTCATGCTACTGGGTAGAGCTGCTCGGATTTTGAGCAGTACATGTGCATGAGCGTTCTTCAACCTAGTGTGTCGGGTCGGGCGGGTGAGGGGGGTAGGGTCAAGCAACGTCATGTGCCAGTTGTGGTGGTTTTGTGTTGTACGTTTTGTTTTTTGGTGAATCCAGTACGTTAGCGATGTAGTAGCTCACGACATTTTGTGAGGTTTGTCGCCGTGAGCAAGCGCGAAAATACAAAACCACATTCGTATTCTAGATTCGCTGGGGCGTGTAGGCTTTTCCCCCGTTGGCGATTTTCTTCGCGATTTAGATACACTAGCTTTTCTTGTACTCTATTTTCAGTATAATAGCCAAACTCGACGACAAACATACGAGGCAATCGCCTACGGGGGAAAAATCTAGGGGCGTGCCATGCTGACAGACAGGACTCTACCTCGTCGTCAAGAAGACTCGCCGGCCTGTCTTTGGCTATAAAATAACAGGGGTGGGGGATGGTGAAGTCTTCCCGGATTGATGAGCGCTTGGAGTGCTACTAAATACCTTGGAGTATGTATCATATCATGTCATATCGTATCATATCATATCTGTAGGTTGAGCGGGCGGGCGAGGTACGAGCGGCCTGGCCGAGAGAGAGCAGTGCGTCGTACTGTAGAGGCTCCGCGCGATGCGATGTGTCGAACGAAGGAAGGCTTGCAGGCTTCCGATGGGATGGCGAAAGAGAGGAAGACATCCTTCGGCTCGCCCACATTCTCGTGTGTGGTGGTGAAATGCAAAGTACCCCGTGTGTTTCTCAAAGTTTTGTCCAGGGGAAGGAAGGAGGGCAGGTAAGTTATGGTAATATAGTGAGCCATAGCAATGTCCACTCCAGCGATGTGCGTGGTAGAAGCCTACGATCATGTAGCCAGCGCGATCCGATAGAAGGATAGGAAAGGGGGCATGTCTTTCTGGCGTTTATCCATATGGTCAGTGTGCCACGCGCACACCGCTGGCAGGGCAGATTGTTCACGGTTCATGTCAAGAGCAAGGGACGCAGTGTCAGTGGCGTGTGGCCACAGCACTTTTTTCGGAGAGCCCTGCTCAGACATATGAGTGTTCGTTTTGTTTGCATCGCGATAGCTTTGTTTTTCTGGTGTGTCCACCTGGGGCCGTACATACCATCCCGTTTGTGTGAAGAGGATAGACAATATATAAAGAGCTGTGTTTGTGGTTGTTCTTGTTTGTTGTCTGGGGCCGTCTGGCAGCAGCGCTATTTTACTTGCATTTATTTGCCCATGATACCACGTAGGTTGCGCGTTTTCCTTTTTGAAGGCACACACCGCGCGCGCGGTACGAAGGAGGACATGATGCACACTGTTAGAGCCAGGTAGTGTTTCTCACGTATGAAACACGGTTCATTTTTGACCTCTGCCGTATGTAGGGTGTTCCTCGCCTTGCTGAGGGCTATTTCACCGCCTACAGAACGCGTGTTGTGAAGCAGGTATGCGGCGCGCAAAACATGCGCGGTGTACGCCTGCACACATTCAAGTAAAACTTCCGTATTGGTGCCAGTCCGTCAGCCCCATGCGCATGTCGGAGCAAGGTGTATTAAAGTTGGTGTGAACGTGTCGATTTGACACTTGGTGACCCGTTTCTTCGTGTTGAATGAAGAATATTCAGCCGACTTTTGGTGATTTTTATTTCGCACGGATGTGCAATGAGAGAGATGGATGTATCTACGGTTCGTTGCGGGACGAGTTGAGGGTGTGTGCCTGTTAATGCAAACCACGGTGGGCGTTCTCTTTGTATGTTTTCATGAGGGTGGGGAAGGAACACCATACGACACAACAAACATGATGTACATATACGTCCTGATAACCGAGAAAAAGCCGAGGAAGTCCAGGTTTCTACTGTAGGCATCGCTGAAGACGGAGGATGACGGATGCGCCCCACAACGGTACCCCATGCATGGGGTCGGCTACATCCCGTAAAGGGCGGATAGATGGCACCCCCTGTAGACCGACTTCCAAAGCTCCATTGCTCCGTAACCAAAGGGGACCATAAAGAGCCCGATGGGTCTACGGAAAGCCGTCGACGAAATGATTCCAATACCACCGCTTTCGGTGTTGGCACAAGCTTGGTTGGTTGTGGAGCAATCGAGTTTTGAAAATCTGTCAAGGGGGAATACATGCCATCTCTCCTCTCCGCCTCTTACGGTAGCTAAGAGCGAAGCAGCGGTGTTGGTCGTGCTGTTACTAACATCACCGCCGTTCGTCGACGATCGCCTGCTGCGGTGTGCTCCACCACTTGCCGTCACCAACAACCCCTGGCGTTCAATACATGTGCTGGCTTCAGTACTACTCATAACCTGCAACGAGATAGGGCAATGTCTTTCTGCCTTGCCTGCGGCGCAAACGGATTGATGAAACCTGGAAATCAATCACCCCCCCAACCCACCACACAACCTTCGTAAAGATCCATCGCGAATATCCCACCATTACCTCCACGTGTGCCTGAACGCCCCTTTACCAGCCCGAATCCCTGAGCTCACTCCGCCCACTGTCGTAACCAGCTTGTCGCCTTATCGCGAGGTCGCTTGATCAAATTATGTGCTCTGTCCTCTAACACACACAGACCACCGTCTTCACGCCATCGCACCGTCATGATGCTCTAGACACCCATCCGCGGGACGTCAGACCTGTACATACTTACACCTGTGCACGCGAGGTAAAAACTCGCAAGACTCAAACAACGCATACATATAATCCCGCCTGTTGAGTGGACTCCCCACTTCTGTGACATATAAATGGTCCGAAGGGGACGGGTGAACAAACATATTCATACCGTACACACGCTACAGGTGTTAACGCCGCGAAGGACAAATATGTGCCCGCATTGTGCCTATTGGCCCAACAGCAGTGCCGCAGCCGCTGAATTCTGATATGTCAGGCGTCCTGTGTAGCGAACTCATTCGCGGAATCGCATTCATAGAAATCTTTGCTCAGCAACCTACCTGACCTTGACGATAACTCTGGGCGCGCCTCGCTTCCTCGAGACGCTACTGACTGCGACTACCGTACCGTCGTTTTGGCGGCCACTTGGTCGTCGTCTCGACTGAACTAACGAATATTCGAGTAAAATATTCATCTACGAGGAAGCCCGTCGCCGTACAGGGCATGCAGAGCGTCTTCGTAGGCCAAAGGAAGGTGGTCCACGATGGCCGTGTCAACCATGAGAAGCCTTTCGAACTGGAAAACGAACGAACGTCAGGCAGGCGAGGAGCAAGCAAGGGGTTGTGCGGAGCTTGGATAAGTTAGATGGTTTCTTGCTTGTGGCGTAAGGCCTGGAACGTGCCACCTGCTATGCCCTGTGGGGCATCGTTGAGTTCCATTTCCCCCACTGTTGTGCGTGCATAAGAAGTCGGTTGAAAAGGCGGGAAGTAGAGTTGTGAATCGGAACGATGTACACGATATATATCGTCCGATATATATCGATATCGGTATCGAAAATTCGTGCCGATGTTCCGACCGATGTTTTCTTAGGGGCTCCGTGAATCAAATTTAGGGTATGCGCAGCAGTACGGAGCCCCTGTACGCCACACACACACAGCACAGCAGCGCAGAAACAGCAGACAACAGCACCATGTCCAGAACCAACCGGGAAGTAGACACAGGGAGAGACCGAAGGAGGGTACTGCTGAGGATACGCGACAATACATCAATCTTAATCTTTTTTTTTTTTTTCTACATTCCGTGCGATGTTTGCAGCTGAAGTCAAGCCCTTTTTGATGCCGCATTTGGGCCCATTTTGACGGGAAATGAAAGGAAAATGCACCAAATTTTCTGCCTCCGGCGGCGCCTCCGGCGAGGCCCCCTCACCAGCCGGGGGGGGCCGATGGGGGGGCTCGCTTCGCTCGCCCCCATCACGGCTCGCTGCGCTCGCCCGATATTTTCTCCGATATATCGCCTACGGCGATATATCGGAGAAAATATCGTTATATCGGCTGCGCAGCAGCCGATGTAAAATATATCGTTTTTTCGTACCGATTCACAACTCTAGCGGGAAGTGATATAGGTAGGATGGACGGACTAGGGACGACATTTTTTAGCGACCTCTGGCATAGTAGGAAGAAACGATTGGCCATCGGTGATCGGTCCTGTGGGAACAATGCTCCGTCCTCTCGAGCACGCGTGGTCAATGGTCTAACCGCTAAGGCATGCAAAACATAAGGGTACGCCCCCCCTGTTGTGGGTGCTGTCTGCCTCTTTTGGTCACCACTCGGCTGTCGGCGTTCCATCATATCGTATATTTTCCGTCATGGACATCGCTCCCATCTATGCTGCTTAGTGAACGAACCAAACTCGTTGGTTACACTTGGCCAACCTCCTCAACACTTCTCCATAATCCCGTTCCCTGACCCACATCTCTCCTTCTCCTACATGTGCGGTGTGTGTATCACGCCATTCTTCTGTCCAGTGTTCTCACAGAGTGGCCGTTTCATACGATAGGTGCAACTTTGGAAGGGACACGCCTGACCGCGGCGCCCACGGAGCCTGACCACTGCTGTTGGTGTGGGAACTCCACAAACCAGCTGCCGTCTGAAGCTGTCACAGACACTTGTAGACGATGCAGCAGGTCTGCGGAGGACGAAGCACACTACGCGAGGCGACCGGAATAACTTGCGCGGAGACGCTGCCGATGTTTGTATTGGTGAAATGCTTGACTTGACTGCGTATGTATGTCCCTTTGGCCTTGATTTTCGTTCAGCAAGATTTCAAGCGTCACTTGCTACAAATTCACATACAGCAGCAGCGACGTTTTCCCAAACAAAAATACATGCACCACGGAGGATTTCTCGCCGCCTTGCGGTCACGACAACATACCCGCTCCAAAGTCGACGCCCACACAAACACGCGCACCTCTTCCGGCTGCTGCCTCTCCATCCAGTACAGCTTCGACCTCAAGCCCACGGGGTTCTCAGAGCACACACCAGCGGAGGCAGCGGCGGCGCTCTCCGGCCCCAATTTTCTAATGTGGTAAATTGTGCCAGGAATCAACAGTCTCGTGTACCGATCTGCGCTCCCGCCGTCCGCTTCAACCCCCCCACCGCGCTCGGAGGAAGACTTGCGCACTTCCAGCTCGCGGCCCGTCCTCCAGGCATCCTCGGATGCCATTCTTGGCCCAACGCCGCCGTCCCTGTCGCGTTTTTGGTAAGCCCCCCTCGCCGCCCCAGTCTCCGTAAACCCCTCTGCAAGCTTGTTTCGAACAAAGTCCTCTACCGGGTGGACGCTCGTTGCGCCCGCGCCCCGCTTGCCCCCCGCGCCTCGTTGGCTGCTACGGTAGCCCCCCCGTTTGTTGTTGCCCCCCCGAGAGCGTGTTCGGTGGAGGATTGTGGCGTAGCGATAGGCCACTCGCATCCGGACGTCGCCAAGGCCGTCGTCGTGGATTGACAACCGCGGACGGTGCTCGTTGACGAGGTAACCGAGACGCTGCGGCAAGCTCGCCTGCCAACCACAACGAAACACAATGGACGGCCGGAGAAACGCGTGGGCATAGCGCAGCATGAAGATGTAAACTAAACTGCTGAGAAGAGCGAAGAGGGATACGAGAGTGTAGTGTTTCACATCAGGCAAGGGAGGCCGATCGGATCAACCTCTGCACGCGTGTACATGGCAAGACCATGTGGTGCAACATGAAACATAGCACTTCTTGCGGCAGAACAACGTAGAGGTTGAACGACACAATATTGCCGCCGCTTACAATCTGCCTTTCCCCGTCCTCTTGTTGTGCCGCTTGGAAATCCAACTGAGTGAAATCGTCACAATGGCCCTCACCAAACGACAACGCCTTCAATGAACAAGCGTCCAACCCCCTCAAAACACCCAAAACTGCTCCCGTCTCGCACCACCGCCACCAACTCTACACCAAACCTACACCAAACCTACACCAAACCTACACCAAACCTACACCAAACCTACACCAAACCTACACCAAACCTACACCAAACCTACACCAAACCTACACCAAACCTACACCAAACCTACACCAAACCTACACCAAACCTACACCAAACCTACACCAAACCTACACCAAACCTACACCAAACCTACACCAAACCTACACCAAACCTACACCAAACCTACACCAAACCTACACCAAACCTACACCAAACCTACACCAAACCTACACCAAACCTACACCAAACCTACACCAAACCTACACGAGCCACCATCTAAAAGCGCCACGTGTCGAGACGTCAAATCCACCTCCAACTCACGCCGATTCTTTCCACCTCCTTCAGGTCGCGGAACAGCTCGTACGCGCTGGCCAGAGACATCCTGGAGACCATGTCATTGCCGAAGACGAAGGATCGGATCGCCCATTGCGTTTCTCCCGAGAGTTTCTCGAGAGGGCCGAAAACCGGCGGGGGCGCGAAGGCGTAGCAGAGCACGCGGGTTGAGCCCAAACCGAGCTCGCTCCTCCTACGAAGGAGCATCATCGTCAGCAGTATCGAGACTCCTAGACCAAGGGCAGGGCGGGCGAGCGTAGCGAGGGGGGCGCGTGGTTGGAAGGTGTTGCTCCACAAAGAGAGTGCGCACTTTTACCGAAAACGTACATATGATATGCATGTACTTATCAACTATGGTGACCACTTTGCCTGGTCCTGTGGTTTACCTATTTACCTCCCTTGACTACGCGCGGACAGGTGGAGTACTGTATAGATCATCAAACCCGTCAGGGAACATGTAAGGCAAAATATTCGCCAACGCGAGACTGCATCTTGAATGCGCCCCCCGTAGCGCCCGTCTCCATATCAGGAGTCGCCATGAGACAGCATACTTTACTTCTATACGGATGGACCTGCACCCATCGGATGCCACATACAATCCGGCACATCACAGACAGCAATCCTGAGTTGTTACGAGATAAGGGTCAAGTCAAGGATGGCACTGACTCAAACGAACCAAGATATGGACAACGTTTCAACAACCCTGCACGCACCTCCGCCGAGGCTGTGACCTGTGACCACCAGCCGGTAACCCCTGTGCCGGTTGAGTTGTTGGAGCACGTCACTCTTCGCAACGGCCAGAAGCATCTCCGCTCCCTGGCGCAGACCGCGGTGGCATGATCCTCCCATGAAGTCTTGACGGCGAACACGTTTTCGGGATAATGGACAGCGTCAGCGTCCGAGAGACAACCAGGAGGAGGAAAGCGGACGAGCAAAGAGAAAAAGGACACGGTCAAGTAAGCAGAAGAGGGCCGAGTGAGAAAGGGGGAAGGGGAATAGCATAGCGGCAATAGGCTTCTTGGAAGCCAGAATATGATAGCACCTATGAATCACAATCATTGCACCGGCGGGCGGCAAGCTTTCACACCCCTCCCCACCCCGAAACAACTAAATAGATTACCTCGTGTACAGCGACGGCTCCAGTTGCTGCGGTGCACGCATACATAGGTAGCCTAACGAGCGACGCTATATACTTCCAGGCTGACCTTCTGACAACAAAAAAACGAGAAAGACTAAGGGATACAAATATCAAACATCAACCTTTGTCGGTTTTCTGTCGCACTATCCCACCTGCGCTATCGCACACCAAGTCGGTGACCGTGTCCTGCATGGAGAATGTACCACGGATAGACAGCACAACGCTTTCGGTGGCGTGGTCGACTGTCAGCACGTACGCCGGCATGTGGAGTTCGCGCTCCCCCAAAGTGTTCATCTTCACCAGGTCCGAGTCCTGGATGCCGCAGTGCCTGAGTTTGATCGTGTTCGGTCACATTCGGCGTCCAAGCAAAACTGTCGCATCAAACCAAGGAAAGTAATTTCGTCACACGGTGGTTGGAAAAAAGATGAGATGACAGTACGTACAACCATACAGAACACGCTCGACAAGGTCGAAAGGGTTGCCAAATCGCCGTTAGAGTTAACAGCAGTAGCTGAACGAGATCGTCACGATGCATCCCGGTCCATCCAGATGGCAGCAGCTTGTACACAGCTCGGCGAACCGGGGCCAATCACCATCATCATCACTTGCATCATCACTTGCACTGTCATAAACGACACACACACTCCACAGCAGTCCCGCCAGCCCGAACTCTCTGTGGAAGGTCAACGCTGTTCCTAGCTAGCCGCAAGGTCTTCTTTTTACATCCGTTGAACGAAATCTACGCGTAACAGAGTCCCTGACGTTGCTGTTACGATAGACTGCATTCTTTTGGTGGGTCTAAAGCGACACGTCAAGAAAACACAGCTTCAACGATGATGTAACAAAAGGCTGGTATGGCAGACATGCAGACATGGAAATCAACATAGAAAAACACCGAACGCAGCGGGGCTCAGTGCCTTGGCTGCTCTGCTCCGTGCATGGTGTTGTTCTCACTTGGTGATGCACCACTTGTTGAGCTCCAGGACCGAGAACTTGTGCACCGGAGGCCATCCAGAGTCCCAGCTCATCACGTTAGCGCCCTGGAGCACTCAGCCCGATCACACCACGCAAATAACACATAGATAAACATGTAAGAGAGAGCAAAAGCACAGCACGAGAAAGATACAAAGCGGAGAGCCATCACGTCAGGCTTCTTCCATTATACTCACGATGGTACACGACAGGCTTCTTCCATACAAAATATTCACGATAGTACTACTATACCATGGTATGGGAAACGGGAGGTGACAAGAACGAGGTTCAAGCTTGACTCACGAGCATCTCAGGCGGCATCAAATATAAACATCGGCCATCTACCACCCTGCCTGCCATACCGCACGAAGAGGGAAAATCATGAGAGACGTGCAGCACACGGCACCGGTGAGTTGTTGTTGTTGTTGTTGTCTTCACATTAAAAACCATCCCGGTCTCTCTATCCAGTACCTCCTTCTGTCTCAATCTCTCCGTACCAATCCATCACTTGACTCGGCCAATTTCCGTGGTCACAGGCTAACGTACCTAGAAAAGGTATACCAAAATAAAATGGACCCCAAGGGTCAGCAGAGCGATAAAATACAAGAAAACAAAATATAATCAGAAACAAATAAAATAAAATAAAATAAATAATTAGACTAGTGGAACGGCCGCACCACCAGCCTGGGGGGGTAGCCTCCCACTACATGGAGGCAGGTC